GAATTTGAGAATGGTATAAATACACCTTTCTCGTATATAAAATAGTGTATTATGTATCAAGTTTGATAAACGCCATTTTAGACACGAATTTAATTAATAGCCACGAGCGATCTTGCAAGCAAGTGCTTAAATTAATGAGTGTCTAGAAAATTTTTTCTACGACAAATACTTATTATCTAAAAATGATTTAAATTAAGTATTAGTATAAAGCCCCATCTATAAAACAATAGGGGAATCTGTTACCGTCAAATTTCAAATTTGTATGTGTTATAAACATAGATAATAAATCAAAATATATACCTTGAAAATGGATTGAACAACAGTTTTTCACAGTGAAAGTGAAGTAAATGTTTTATTAACACTTCACGGTGGAGTACGAACACGACTTTAAGTTATATCTAGTTTACTTCCGGCGAAATTAAAAGGTCAGTACAATGTTCATATAAACTTTTCAAATATTGGCGTTAAGAAACTATTTAATACTTTTGTATTTTTGTATTGAGATAATAAAATAATTTTTACATTTAGTATTATTTTAAAAGAAGGGCACTTTATTTTAACGATTGTATGACATTTGACAACTATCAACTAAGTTCAGCCCGTGACTAAAAACCTGTTGCTAACTTCACGCCCTGACTAAAACGCCGTAAGGCCGCAACTTGTCAATGTGTATTTAAAACGTCACTTAGTGTCATGGAAACATGTACGATACACGGAAAAAAATGTTTTCTAAATGTAAGAACACCTTTATTCTTAAAAAAAATTCATTTTACGTCACGGGCTGAAGTTAGCTTTATTATAAATTGGGAAAAAGTGAGGTTAAATTCGGGTGACAGTTGACAGATGTCAAAATTTTAACAAATAAAATTGGCTTTAAATTCTGTTTTGTGTTCGTCGTAGATAAAATATAGTATGCAACTCGTTTATAAACTTCTCTAGACACTCGTTTTTATTAAACACTCGCTCGCAAGCTTCGCTCGTGCTTAATTAAACTCGTAACTAAAATGGCGTTTATAAAATTTGATTTCTTAGCTTCAAATCAAGTTCAGTTGAAACAAGATGATTGACCTAATATTGTCAAGGCTAAAACTAAATATTAATCTTTCTTTAAACAAGCCTTGTTTAACAAGGAGATCTTATTCTTGCCTGTTAAATGTTAAGAAAGACTTTAAATGAAATAATCTTATTCTTAATTTAAGATTAACAAATAATTAGACCAAATTTTGGAAAATTCCCTATATTCTGTTTTAAAGTTATAAAACTATATTGGATTAATAAATTTATTCTAAGATTAGTAAATATTGGTACGACTGGCCTATTCTTAAAATTATCCCCCACTCAAGAAAGTGTCCGACATTTTGGAAGATTATTTCTTGTGTTAGTTAATATTTGGTTTGGAATTATGAAAGAGCTGATAAATTAGTGGAAAAAAAATTAGTAGAAAAAATAGTGCAATCCACTAGTGGCTCTTTACTCTTTGAAATAAACATTGTCATTATATCCTAACCTTTTTTAAAGTCAAGCAAAAGTTAAAAAAAGAATAGGCAATATTTGAAACAATTATTGCTAACTTTTATAAAGATACCTTATATTTAATCCAAAAGTAAATATTGTATCGCCATAGTGTATATAGTGCTTGCATTTAAAATAATTTGATAGTTTTTCTTGAAATAAGTTTACCCTTTATCGTTCAAATAAGTATTCATTTAAATTACAAATAAGAATAAATCAATCCTTAAATAAAAAGGTTCTATACTTGGACTAAGATGATTAATCTTTAATATAGAATAATTTTTTTTCTGTGTAATGGGCGTTTTAAAGGTGGGGGTAGAAAAATATATTTATTAAAATAATATGAAAACACTGCATATTTACAATTTAACTAAGAATGCAAAATTAGTAGTTTGAAGTAATTAGATACGAATTGCCAGATTTAACTGTTTAGGGTCGGTTTATCAATTATCGATATGAAATTTAACTGTCAGATAGACTAGCTGGAACTTAACTAGAGATTGATAAACCGGCCCTTAGAAATGTCCAATTAAAATAGAATATAAAATACATATAATGGAAAAATCATCTTAAATAAAATTTTAACCCGCCTAAAAATAACATAAAACCGTTGAGTGAAAAGTCATCTTCATCATCTAGATGAATTGTACTGGATCTATCTAACTAAATGTTTGAGTTTTAATGGTCCTAAAAGTTTGCCAAATACTGTGTATATATACAGATACTCTGTATATATACAGAGTATATAAAATACTAAATGCGTGTAATTTTGGCTGTTAAATATAGTATATGGACATTTATAGTATACTATAAATGTCCATATACTATATTTAACAACCAAAATTACACGCATTTAGTATTGTGAACAATCCATTTAAGATTAAAAAGATGATCGACATTTAACGAAGATAAATCTCCTTTTCCTTGTCTACGAATGATCGTTAGAAAAAGGATTAATGATCCTAAAGGATGCATCCCCTTCCCCCCATGAACCAACCATTTACACATTTAACATGTGTTACGTTACGTTTATCACTCGCATAAATTTTAGATCCAATCCACGGAATATAATGGCAATAATTTTTGACCCAATAACGACGCGTCTTTCAAACATAAAAATGTCCAATAAACTTATAAAACATATCAGCGATTGTCGCGTTATTTCGTCCGTAATTTTAATGGCTAAATCACAGTGGGCTAGAAAAAAGTCTATTTTTAATGCATGCAACTTTTAATCTTTGACATTGTTTGTTCGGCTTCCAAATGTGACTTTTTAGAAGTAACAAAACTAAATTTTAGTTTAGGAGGTAACTGCAATTTTGATTTTGTTACTAAAAACATGTAAATGTCAGGGTCGTATATATATTTTCACAAAATTTAACCTACTCATGAACTGTTGGTCCCAACGTGCACAAGGCTTGTCATTTTAATGTTTTATTATTTTGGAGCATTGTTATCCAAAGCAGTAAAACGGTGGATGATGAATCCATAGCGCCGTCGTTTAATTGGTAATCTATCGGGCGGCGGCGGCGGCGGGTAAGGAAAACGAAGTGCCGGTTTACGCCTCAAGATTTTTAATAACGCACGCGGTTTCGCAAATGGCTCGTTAAAGCATCGCTGCTCAATAAAAATGAAATTTATATCATCGAAGCCATATATATGCTCTTTATGCTAAGGTATATTTTATGATTGCCATTTTTATTAGATGGATAGCTATAGCTATATATGTATATATTTTATTAGGGTGTGCGTTGATTTTTTTCCAACAGCGCCCTCTAAATTATTAGTTTATACCCTAAAAAATAAATAAAACCAAAATAGTTTTTAATTAAATAACATTGGATTTTTTCACTTTTTACATTTAATTTTTTCTGAACAGGAAAATAAACAGAAATTTCCAATACACATTTTTGTCGGAAATTAAATGCTTTACAAAAAAGCTTTTCTACCAATTTACTATAAAATTACTTATTCAAAAGTTATTTATAATAAAAGTTGAGTCCATGGTCAATATTTCTGCTTGTGCACTGCACTGCAAAATAAACGGATATATATATACGAGGTGTGTTCAGAAAATAACTAGAATTGTTAAATTTCGCGGGTTCGGAGGGTCCGGTTGTCATAATTTTTTTTTATTATGTTGGTATACATGCCCCCGAAGTATGATAAAAACTTTAGCTGTTTTCATTGTTTACTTTGTCTGTGGCAGCCGCTAAGGTTAGACGTGTTTTATGAGCTCGGCGATTTTTCGTTCGTTAAAAGAAATAGATCAAAGAATTTGTATCCAATTCTGCTTAAAAAATGAAATAAATTCTGTGAAATGTTAACAAAGGCCTATAGTAAGTCTGCTATAAGTAAAACAAGAGTTTACAAGTGGTATAAGAGTTTCCAAGATGGCCGTGAAGACGTTAAAGATGACGAACGCTCCAAACGCACAAGCACATTAACAATCGATAAAAACATGGAAAAATTGGAAGAAATGGTCGAATGTTTTGGGTGTGAAACGCGTGGCAGCAAAATTTTTTCTAAAATTGTTAAATTTTGAACAAAATTTTTGACCAAAAACAATACTGTAATGATGCCCCAGCCTCCATATTCGCCAGAAATGCCTCTGTCTGACTTTTTTCTATTCCCAAAAATAAAGAGAACCTTAAAGGGCCGTCGTTTTGCAAGCACTTTTTTACAAAATTATTAAACAATTAATTCGATTGCTCAGACTAGTTAGGACGTAGTAAGTAAGTATTTTTTATATGAAATTACAGTGGTCCTCTAGCAGTCTACACTAATTTGGTCTCATTTAAACTATTTTTACAAAAAACACAATTTTTATGAAAAAATCGAATTTTTAATCTACTTGCGCAAACTCCAGATATTTTTTTTTTAATTTAACGTTTTTTTGAGGTTGTTATTAAAGAAAAACCTCAACTTTTGACACCCAGCCGTAGCTAAAAATTAACCTTTTAGGCCTACCCCATTGCATAAGCAGGTATTGCCCTTGACTATGAATAATTTATGAATCGGTAATTTTATAGTACATTGGAAACTTTTTTTAGAGGGTTTAGTTTTTTATAAAAATATGTATTAGAATAGACATTTTTTTCAAATTTCGTTTGTAAAACTGGGCAACATTAGAATTTATTTATTAAAAAATTATATAAATTATCAATGACGAATAGAACGATAATAAGAAGGTTATTACATTCATTTCTTAACATCTTTTGATATTTTCATCAATTTTTTATAAAGAGTAGAACTGTGCAGAAATGTTCAATCGCACATTGTTAATAAATGAATTAAGCTCAACAATTTTTCTTTCATGAAACGCTGCAGCGTTAAAAATTGTAGGCTCATTTAGGAAATGTCTACTCATGCGGGAATTTTCTATGTCTATGGTTTATGACATTACTAGAAAAATGTCACTTTTCAAATTTGTATCAAAAATTCTTCCAAAATCTAGAAATGCTTCCTTCAAGCAAAGTATTAGAAACATGGGCATAGAATTCAACAGAGACAAATATTGGTTGGATAGAATTGGTACTCGAGAAGTTGTTGGGTATGGTATAAACGGACAACCCGTTTATTTTGACATGTCTTCATTTCCATTTCCTGCAATTAGATATAAAGAACCCACCAGAGAAGTCCAAGTATGCGATAAACTATTTAATAAACATTTACAATTATATTTAAAATTTAGGCTCTTTTGGAGAAGCAAAAATGCGACTGGAGACTTCTTACAATAGAGGAAAAACGTGAACTTTACAGGATTAATTTTTGCAGAACTTTTTCTGAATTTCAAGCATCGACATCAGAATGGATGGAAGTTGTTGGTTACGGTTTAATTATGGTATCCTTAGGTGTTTGGATATGGATTTTCTTAAGACTGATAAGTACAGTAACAAAACTATATTTTCAAATTATAAAGCAACTATTTTTAAGTTGATCATGAGGTTCCCAAATCCTATAGAGACGATTGGATTTTGGAGCAGAATAGGAGGAAGTTGAATATTAGACATGAGCCTATTTTAGGATTTTCTTCTTATTATGATTACAAGAAGAAGGATTGGAAGAAAGGTGGGTGGATGATGCCACCAAATCCTTACGAAGGCATGGATGAAGAAGAAGGTGAAGGAACAGCATCAAAATAGGTTACAAATAATTTTATAATATTATATATTATTTGTTGTATTAATGAGCATTAATAATAGGACTATTAATCCATAGTATAGTAGTGTATAATTTAAAATATGAAGGAAAGAGATAACCAAATCAAAAGCATCTTTGCTCCACTCGTTCGTTGATGTTGAAGTGCCTTTGTCTCGGCAAAGTGCCTAAGCATAGTCTCCAAAATGGTAACACATTACTTTTGAAAACTTCTGTTACGTATCGATCGAGCACTTCTTTTACCACACAGTGTATAATGTCAAAGGAGCGTCTTTTGCGCCCCCTTGTCCTTTTACCTCTTCACGACGGAGCTCCGCCGAGTTCTTTTCTCATCGAAAAGCCGGGCTTTCATAGTTTGTTTGGAATGTTCGGCAAGGGGTACGAAATTCTATATTGGAGAAAGGTTCAACCCTCAACTACTTCACTGTTTTTCGTGGGTATTATTTTACGGAACGCTCATTCTTCTTCCAACATGTTTGATCGATTTCATTGGTTGTATTTTTTTTTAAATCATGCATGATTTTATATAAATTTTAATACTTATATTTTATTAAGAACGTATTTGGGCAGATTTATGATTTTAAAACAGTTTTAAAGCTACTTTAGGACATTTAACACAAGCATAAAAATGTGCAGAAAAGTGCCCTAGAATTAAATATTAAACAGTTTTAAGAATGGGCTACGTTTCAAATAGTTCTACAGGGTTGACACTTTTTTTAAAGTTAATAAGAGTTTAAATTAATTTAATTGGTTCAAGAAACAGTTTAGTGTTCTACGCATAATCCAGGAAGTTTGTCTTATCTGGCAAAAAATACAAATTTATATAAGTCAGATTTGTTAACATGAGTTTGTAGTTTGTTAATTTTATTTTTAAAATTTTAACATAATTTTTTGTATAAATAAATATATATATAATATATATATTATATATATTGGTGTTGCAACGGTTACGGTTACAGTTACGGTTAATTCACGGTTTTCGATATTATACGGTTAACCGTAACCGTATACGGTATTTACGGTTTTTCATCGAACACGTCTCCGCTTTTGAGATTGCTGGCACTAACGTATTTATTATGCATAATATATATTATATTACATATTATGTATTATATAATATATTTAAAAAAATAAAAACGGCCATTTCAAGCGGGTGGACGGGACAAATCACAACAACTGTTTTTATAAAAAAAAATTGTAGGTAATTTATTATATATTATTTTTGCATCAAGACAAGATAAATCTTTTTTTGTCCCGTCCACACCTTTCAATTATTAAAATTATATCTACTTTTATAAAATATTTCTTGCGTTTTTTTTTCTAATGTATAACCTAATAAAAGAAGAATATTTTTGACAATTTTGATGCCAAAATATTATATAATAAATAATCTACAATTTTTTTTACAAAAACAGTTTTGTAATTCGTGCGTTTCGCGCGCTTGAAATGGCCGAAAAGACAAAAGTCAATATTCAAAATTTACGGCAGTCAATTTTTTCTTAAAAAAACATAACATCTGCAAATTCTGCGGAATCAGCCTGTTTAAACGACTGCAGGTCTTGTGCAAAACCTGCAGTCGAAAACAACCTCTCCGAATTCACTGACGATGGTTTGTATACAAAAATTGACTGCCGTAAATTTTGAATATTAACTTTTGACTTTTTTGTTTTTTTAAATATATTATTCAGGTACCTACTTAGTTTTTACTGTTTTTAGGTTTAAAATGTTACTCATTTCATTTTTTTTACATAAATTATTATTTTCTTAATTCTGCATTTTTTTTTGAATAACCGTGAATGTATTCGTAACCGTACAGATAACCGTAATCGTAACCGTAACCGTAAAACCCGGAACCGTTGCATCACTAATATATATACAGGGTGGTCCAGGATTAATCTGAAAAATTTTAATAATCGATAGAGTCTGAAAAAACAATAAAAACAAACCCAAAAACATTTTTCAAAAATACTCACCAACACACTAATAGCCCTTCAAAGGCAAAAAACGTTTTTTTTAAATAACTTTTAAACCATTAAACCGATTCTGCTTAAATTTTTTGTAGGCAAATTATTTTACAAAAGGCCCAGTGGCGGAGATTTTGGGGGGGGTTTCCCTTTTTACCCCCATATTTCGACACCACTGGATTTTATTGGAAAATCATCAGATTTCTTATTCAATTTAGAAGCAAAACTTGTGTGTTAAATTTTCATAAGATCAGTGGTTTCGGAGATATTTGACTTTAAAATTTCAAAATCACCGAGTACACGGAATTTTATCATAATATTTTATTTTAAATCGGTAACTTGGTAATAATTATGCCACGTTATCAGTTTAGCAACATCGAATAATCACCCTATTGAAAGCGATTATTCCATTATTTCATTGGTAAATTTTTATTGGTCCAATACAATCGTTCAGAAAAAAAAATCATTTTTATTACTAAAATAATAACAAAAGTTCCGTGTACACAGTGTTTTTGAAATTTTAAACTGAAATATCTCCGAAACCACTGATCTGATAAAAAATTAACATAAAAGTTTTGCTTTTACATTGAAAAAGGATAAAAATAAATGATTTTCTGATGATTTTCTAATAAAATCCAGTGGCGTCGAAAATATGAGGGTAAAAAGGGGAATCCCCCAAAATCTCCGCCACTGGGCCTTTTGTAGGAAATTTTCATTATATTATCGACGGAAGCTTAACCTACACAAAATTTGAGAAAAATCGGTTTAATGGTTTAAAAATTATTTTAAAGGACTATATCTCCGTTAGTATGCATTTAAAAAAAATGTTTTTGGGTTTGTTTGTATTCTTTATTCAGGCTCTATCGATCATTAAAATTTTTCAGATTAATCCTGGACCACCCTGTATATATATATTTTGTATAAATAAAATTATTTTACCGAAAGTTTTGTAAAGGATTTTAATCATTTTGTTAATTTCATAGGTTACAGATTATTTTGTTAATGTTTAACAAATTATATGGTTGAAAAAATAAAAAAAGTTGTAATAGTACTGTACTGATAATTATATTGTACAACATTTCTTTAAAATTTGATGATTTTAGAATGGTGTGTTATTTAATTGTGTGTTTTTTATTTTTGTGTTCATTTATGTAGGTTTGTGTTAATTTTTTTGGATATTGATTTGGATTTTTTGGATATTGATTAATAAAGCAACATTTCTTATCAAAATTCTTTTCATTTAAGTTACTTTTGGACTGGGTCTGCAAAAAGGTTTTTAAAAATAAGGTCCTTTTTGAAAATTACAAGAATTATAGGTAGTTGAATCATTGACATAGGATTTTGTTATTAAATCTATTAAATGTTTGTTATAATTACAAACTACTTATTTAATTAGTTAACAGATTGTAAACTTAACATAAAATTATGTGTACCTGGATTAACATAAAATCTGAAGACTATTTGGTTAAAATTAACAAATATTTTTTGCTGTGTATAATATATTATTTTATTAAATTAAATTAGTAATAATTTCCTGACTTTGGAAAAATGAATACATTTTTTACCTTAATTAGGACCCATCGCTCCATAACCAATTATTATATAAAAGTATTTGATTGAAAAAATATATATATGATTTTTTTAAGAATGCTAATTACCTACAAATTAAATAGAGATACGTCCTTGTCGCATTACATCGCTATTAGCAGTTAATAAATCTGCTAGCATAAGAAGCACGTGAAATAAAAGAAAAAGAAAAAGCGCCCGCCACCGCTGCCGCCGCCACCAAATAGTAGTGGAAACCAGGTCGTGTGCAGCAGTCGTTCGTAGATACACGCGGTCCCCCTTTCGAGGCGGCAAAGGCCCCCATCTCGCCGCCCCCGGTCGGTCCCAGTCCACCCTTCATCAAGTAAATTGCAGCGGCGGGTACTCGTTTCAGATATCTGGCAGGTCTGGCCCCCGGGGGGCGGCCGACCCCGCTTTCTTCATCGGAACGAACGAACGAACCGGGGGCGGCGGGTTACACGACACCCACTCGCTCGCTCGCTTCCACTGCCGCCGACGCCGCCACCGACGACGAATTTGAGGGGCTTGATGTGCAGTGGCGTAACGCGAAATTTTATTATATTATTATTTTATTATACATATACAGGGTGTTTCATAATATATGCGCAGGACTGGATGTGATAGCTCATCCAAAAAGATGAAAAAAGTCGCTATTAACTTACGCTCTAAAATGCACAATTTTCGAGATACAGGGTGTTGAATTTTTTTTCGAATATCTCCGGAACCGTTTATCGTACAAAAAACAGTTTTGAGAGGCTACACAAAAGAGGTACTCTTGGTCATAAGCTCTAAACTTTACTGTTTTCGAGAAAAATCAACTTTTATGTTTAAAAACATGGTCAATTTAAAAAAAAAATTTTTTTTTACTAATTAAACAAAATTTATTTTAACATTAGAACAAGTAACAAAACCAAACCATAATTGCAAAATAAAAAATGATTCAAAAGTTGTCTTTGCTAAATTCTCCAAACCGTAAAGGTAACGCATTTCGCACATTTCAGCATTTGTGTAAAAAATCATTTTTTATTATTTTTTTTAATTTTGCAATTATCGTTTGGTTTTGTTACTTTTTCTAACGTTAAAATAAATTTTGTTTAATTAGTAATAAAAATTTTTTTTCAAAAAATTGACCATGTTTTTAAACATAAAAGTTGATTTTTCTCGAAAACGGTCAACTTTAGAGCTTATGACCAAGAGTACCTTTTTTATGTAGAAAACATTGGCGGTTCGAATGGGCCTCTCAAAACCGTACTTTTTTCAGGGGCGTAGAAGTTGAGGAGAAAAACACCCGCTTCCCCTTCAAAATCTCCACCAATTATGAGTAAAAAAAAATTTTTTCTGGCACAAAACATAGCTTATTATGAGTAGAAAATGCTTACAAAAGCTGTTTTTTGTACGATAAACGGTTCCAGAGATAATCGAAAAAAACGATTTTTTTTCTAAAATTTCAACACCCTGTA